TTCTTTCCCTCTTCCTCCCACTCCCCACCTGTCTCTTATACACATCTAGATGTGTATAAGAGACAGGGTTAACTGCAGGTTAACCTAGAGTCTAATGATTACAAATAATCCAAAATAGAGCAGGAAGAAATACTGGTTATACATCATATAAAAGTCCAAATAGAACAATAGAAATGGAAAACACTTTCAGAAATTCAGCCCTTCACATTTTATAGTATTCTCCATGACATTTCACCTTCATGCTCAAAAATATAGAAAGAACTATACAAATAAATACCTTATGAACATACAGATAGGTAAAAGCAATACAACATTAGAATGGTTATACAATGTTAAACAGTAAAATGAGAGCTATAAAATGGTAAAAGAATCAGGAGTTTAAACATACAGCTGTTTAAAGAATACTGTATTTGGGAAATCAGCCTTCAAAGTTTATGATTTCGGGCATTTCTCTGGCAGAAACCATCAGAAAATTGTTGTTTAAACATTGAAAATGGGTAAAATAACAGCATAGCATGATGCATAGATATTAAAGGTTAGTTTAGTGCAATAAAATAGATTTCAAACATTTTGACATTCCAGAATGTTTTGGTCATTATCTCTGAAACACAATTTGCGACAAGTGACTGGTTTGGCTTGTCTTTGCCACAAATTGTATGCTTATAAATAATTATGATAAATCATAATTATTATACAGTATAAGCATACAATTTGTTTTATTAACTGTATTTTGGGGTCTTTTTTTTAAAGACAGTTTATTGTTCAATATTTACATTATAATTTATATCACATATCATAGCCTATTTTATATTACCATTATAAATAGCCTCACATTTATTTTTATGTCTCAAGGAAGAACCACCCCTCTGGGCCTCTGTGAGTAATTACAAATGAACTTGAACTTCACCTAGGCCTAGGAGCAAACTAATTATTTTTGAAGGTTTCAACTGATCTACTAGCTCAAGTCATTCAGTATATATGGAGTATTTGGATGTGTGGTTTGTTTCTATTATTATTATTATTATTATTATTATTATTATTATTATTATTATTATTATTATTATTATTATTGTTGTATACTGTATCATTCAAAAAACAAATATAGTATCTGAACCCTCCTTTGGCCACAAAACGAAAAAAAGTATGGTATTATCTTTTAACACTACGGCCTATCCTTATTCAGGGGACACCCCAATTAAGGGGACACTTTTTTAGGTCCCAAAGGTGTCCGGCTCCTCAATAGGGATTCTATTTAGAAGGTTGAGATGACCAAAACATGACATTAGACATTATCTATGGTTTTAAATGAAGTCATTCCAGACACACACTATCAACAATATCGAGGCCTCTGTCAATTTATTATCATTACATTTTTTTATTACAGTATTCACACCCCACCCTCATGCACAGACTGTGAATACTGGCTTTTGTATTAGCTGTTTCACACATAGTCTCAGTTATTGTTTATTTTTCCACCAATTAGCAGCTAGTCTCACTACCCAAACATTCCCTTTTGTTGAATTTCTGTATTATTCTCTTGAAGATGATTGAAGCAACTCAATCGAAACGTTGAGACATTCTTAAACAACAACAGTTCTTTTAAGAACTATCTACAGTACATGGTGTATGGCAACCATTCACAGCTACTGCTTTCTGGATCCTGAATTACTCATTAGTTAGCAGCATAAAGCAGCCCACGATTTCTTTCCCTCTTCCTCCCACTCCCCACCGTCCATGCATATATTCACCCAACTGACTTAGAACACATTGGACTAATGTTAGAATTGCACTGCAGTAATGCAGGTAATAATTATGTCTCCTAAATTAGCATCTAAATATGACATTTCCGGTTGTGCATTGTATATCAAGCGTTTCAATGACGAGGGGTCATACTAACAGTAGCAAGTACTTGAGACTTCCTGTACTACAGAAACACTGCATAAATGCATTGCAGAATATTATTCTTAATATATATTATAATCACTAACAGTAACATTTACTTTTTTATTATTATTCTTCATGACACGATAAATATGTCAATGTCATAATGTACCACTTATTAATACTGTATAGTTGTAATTTATTCATGATATAATATCAAAAAGTTATTATCATTATTATTGCATCATCACTTTGACTATAAAGTAGTATCATTATCACTATCATTATGCTCAGTATAATTGAGTGGTTTTTTTTTTCTCTCTAGATATTATTCAGAGAATCGAGAGGAAGTTTTCAACAACTACTTTATCATTATTTCAGATCTATGTGGCATACCGCAAGCATTAATATATATTATTACTTTGCCATGCAAAATTTCGAACATTTGATCGTTATTATTATAGTATTTCCAAATGATCGATAAGACAATAGACAGCTAATAAAATTCAATACGACACTGCATTTGGTAACGATCATGTCAGGCGGTGTCTGAATATTTACTGGTCTAGCCATTTCTAGGCCCTACACTATATTATGTACATGTTTCGACAAGTTCCCACTGTCATCATTGAAATGCAGAGATTCCATACCTGTATAGGCAAACTTATTTATATGAATAATGATTATTATCAACCAGTTGCGGATTTACAGTACAAGGAGGAGTAAGGGGTGTACCCCCCTTATATTTTTTGGGTATTCCCCCTGAAATTCTTGGAGATTCAGCCATTTTAATCTCTTATCTAAATGATTTCACACTTGGTTTGTATACTTGGGGAGGAGGGATAAATTCTCCTTTTACCATGTCCTGAATCCTTCACTGAAGTCATGTTTATTCTATTTTCTAATTTTAGTATGTTATGTAGGTTTTTGATGTGCTGAATTGTACTGTGATACTTTTTAATGTTCCAATTAATATATTACACATCGATTATATTAACTTTTTGTAAATATATTTTTAAAATCAAATCAAATTAATGAAATTGCTAGAGCTTTAAGGAAGATTCAACCCTTGCACCCTAAATGTACCAGGTGCTCAGGGGCTCTTTCCAGAGACTCCCACTCAGTTCGCACATTCACATCCCCTCTTTCTTAATACTGGGTTTTTATTTTGTTTTGTTTTTTTATTATTATCATCATTCACAGTTGAGCTATAGTTTGGTGACTAAAATGAATGTACAGTACTTTCTATATTCCATAGTTCTGGGTTCAAAACCTGGGAGATATCATTTTTGTGTAATTATTATACACAATTCCACTACAAAAACAACTCAGTCCACACTGTAATTATTGCAGTTACAATATTGTATACAGTATGGCCGAAGTATCTTTAGAAATTGTTTAAAAAAAGCATTAAAAAAAAAAACACTGGACTAACTTGTCTTAGAGCCATGCTTGCTGAGGATTCTCTTTCACTGTCTGCTTGCTCCAGATTCTCCAGGCATCTGGTCAGAGTTCCGACAAAGCTTTCACGTAGATAATCGACAGAGCCTATGAGCTTCTCAACGACGGCTGTATTGACCTTATTCACGACAAGCTCCTGAATCTGCTGCTGACAACGTTTGATATCCTTCTGCTGGCAAGCCTCACCTTTCTTCGGGATCTTAATACCTGTGGACAATTGAAATGCAATATCATAAATGCCTGAGTTTCAGCAGTCGGCCATTTCATAGCATGATAAAGTTACATTTTAAGACTGCCTCTCTTGCAAAACAAGTGACAGATCAAATTTTGTTAGCTAGGTGGTTGAAAGGGGAAGATTTTGGGTATTCCCCCTGAAATTCTTGGAGTTTCAGCCATTTTAACCTCTTCTCTAAATGATTTCACACTTGGTTTGTATATTTCGGATGCTGCCGAAGGGGGGGGGGGGGAGATAAATTCTCCTTTTACCATGTCCTGAATCCTTCACTGATGTCATGTTTATTCTATTTTCTAATTTTAGTATGTTATGTAGGTTTTTGATGTGCTAAATTGTACTGTGATACTTTTTAATGTTCCAATTTTCTATTTGAACTTATAATATATTACACATCGATTATATTAACTTTTTGTAAATATATTTTTAAAATTCTGTAGAGTGCCTGTGATCATTTTAATTGGATATTGTTTGCGCTATACTAAATAAAGTTATTATTATTATTAAAACAGAATTATAAATTAATAGATTTAACACAGCCCACCCTCATCAAGCCTTCAGTTTGAATCACAGCATAGAGATTTTGGGAGGAAACCAGACTTACTACAGACGGTAGTAATTGCCACTTTTCCCCCTGTTTTTAGATTAAAAAATCTACAGATCTAATTAACAGTTCCTGAGTTGTTTTTTTTATCAAATATCCCTTCAATGTCTTAGAAAATTCATTTGTACAATATTAATTTCCTCCTGGCTCCATGGGTAAATGCACAGTAGAATATGAATGACATTATTTTTGTGTCTATTAATTGGTAAGAAATTATTGTCTTCTCTTAAATTAAAAGCAAGTAACTTTTACAATTAATGTAAGCCATTGAAATAAATTGTATAGCTCAATTGTTTTATTTATTGAAAGCCAATAACTTACTTAAAAGTAGTACTGTAAATGAAATGAAATTTATTGCTCAAGTACACAGTTAGAATTAAGGGGCACCATATTCTGAACCATTAAAATTGTCATAAGGGTGTCCTTTGAATAAGTAGGAGTCTCAAGTCACCTGGAATCTGTGAGTCTCCCAGAAATCAGGACAGACTCCCGCAAGCAAGCAAGAAAGAATTTCCCAGGAAATAATCCATCTCCCACAAATTGTAATATTTGCATGATTTTTATTATTTACAGATCAATGTTCTCTCAATTGAAAATTTTTTACTGGTAAATTAAACAACAATACATATAATCATAGCCTAGGCCTGGACTGGAACAGTGGAATGATGTTCATTTTTGAAAGAAGGCCAGCCTAGGCTACCTAGGTCTAATAATTTCATTTTCTTTTATTCTACTAAACTTACAATTTTTTACTAGTTGGTCAGTAAATTTTACTGGTAAAATTGACTGCTAAAACGTGAGAACACTGCAGATCTCTTTGAAGGGATTACAGTATTTCCAACTTGGGACCCCTAAATATGAGTTGGCTGTAACTGTGATCTACTGTATATTATTGACTCACAAGCTAAAGTGTCCTCAAGATTGATTAATTAAATGAATTTATTCGCAAGAGTCATAAAATACATGACATAAACATAAAATACAAAAAACACACAATATAAAAAATTGCACAAAAACATGACACCACAGTAATTCCTTACAAGGAAAAGCTCACAAAAGTAAAACTTACAGTATTTCAATTGGGTCCTTGCAAACACAGAAATAAAATTGCATATTTTATCATGACAGAAAAAAACAAACAGTTCAAAGAACATAAAATGAATAAAAACTGATGAAAAAATGGCAGCAATAAAAAGTCAAAACATTGTTTATCACTCTAATGCCAGCAGTAAAACAAATCAAAAGAGTTAAAAGATATAAAAAGTTCAGAATTACGGCATCTTGAAAATAAGTATACTTATTGAAAATGTTTACACAATAAAAAGTTGAAATTTTTAAATATCACTTAAAAGTTAGAAATCTGACTTAAAACAAAAAACACTGGGTCATTGCTCGGAACATGTACTTCTAAGAGCTGTTTTAAAAAAGAGGTGATGTTTCTACATCAACTGGTGTTTTATTCCAAGCTTTTATAGCATTATAAAGCAAGTTTTATTTAATAGGACTGTCCCCTTAATAATATTCATGTCTCAAAGGAGGGGTAAAATAAGGGGTTTGTTAATTGGCAAGCGAAATTTTTTTTGTTATATTTAAAAAAAAAAAAAAAAAAAACTACCTTACTTGAATTATACAAAGTACTACAGTACCATTAACCCGGTTTATTCAAATTATTAGATCAATAGACAATTTAACAATAAAGACAATAAGTGACAAAGTTTTATCCTATCGTATTGTACAGAAGCTGTATTGGGTCCATGAAAAAAACATGAACAATCATGTGTTATTTTTTTTGGTAGGAAAATAATTTTCAGTGTATTTTTCAATAAGCTTTCAGACAGAATGTTAATTTATCTTGAATTTGACCCACACATCTACAGGACTTTCTATAGCTGGGTTCACGTCGAACTTTTATCTAGATATACATCCACTTAATATACATTCTTAACAGTGATTTGATTACCAGCCAAATAAGGGTCTATAATGGTATTATAATTTGTATTTGTTAACTGACGAGAGAAAAATATGTTTTTGTTCTAAAAATAATGTGACTATCAAGTTTAAAGAAATGCAGAGTATGAGTCAGTTTTAGTAAAGCACAGGAAATTGCATTAAATCCTGCAAGAAATGGGGCAGTGGTTTGGTGACATATTATGGGATAAGCTAGTACTAGTCCTTGTATGTACAGTGAAGCCTTTAAAATTAAAGATAGAAAAAGGAATTTAAATGTTGAAGCATCATATTCGGAAGATACAAATAGTACTTGGATTGGTTGATACAAATATAACATAAATAATATGACGGAAATGTTAAGCTTGCTTGCACCATTTTATCTGATCATAGTAGGCCTATAGTATGAGTAGTGTAGGATTACAAACATGCATTGTTTATTTATATCATTCTGGATTTGCCCTTGATCATGAATTAAAGCATAGTTTTATCAAACTGTATATAATTCATGCTTATTAAGTTATTTATTAGTAAACTTCCATACTAACTTTTGTACATTTGCTGTACACCTCCCCACCCCCCCCCCCCAAAAAAAATTACTTACAGTAGTTTGAAATTGGAATGAGAAATATTGTCGCTGACAAATTTTAATGTTATTATTTGTTTCTTAAGCACCATGCTACTAATCAGAATGTTTAGAATCGATTAACAATATCAAACAGACTGGATAATGACAGTTTTTAGTGTTCGATAGTGTCATACCTGTACAGCCTTTGATAAGCTTCGGTGAGTTGTTGAGAGGGCCTGCCCAGTTGAAACACTTCTGATTATCGGAGGATGTACATGTGATCAAACACTTAAGAAGTTTATAGACTTTTTCAAAGCCCTTTTTTAGATTATCAAATTTTATTTGACAAAAACAAGTGACATGCCTAAATATGGTCATGATGACATCACATCATGACCATATATAGGCACATCATGACTATATGCATACATACCTACAAACTGGTAACATTCTGCCTCCAATAGCAAGTCTTCTTTCATGTTTGCGATGGTCTCCGATATCAAATGTTTGATCTCTTCTTGTTTCTGACTGTTAATTTCCAGTAATTTTTTGTACAGTTCCTCCTCTTGTTGCCGTGCATAATCTATCCTCTTCGGTGTGATCTGAATTTCTCGCGCCATGTCAAACGCCGTCGTTATGAACATATTCATGGATTGTATATGCATGTTTTGCATTGCTGTAGTTGATTTAATGACATAGAGCTGCAACGTGTTCTTCACAAACATGATAATTCCACCAACATTCTTTAAGTCGTCAAGTAACTTACTCGTTGAATTATTGATATTATTCCGGTGTCGACTCTGAAGGGTGGAAGTCGTCCTCAGAAATCCTATGTTGTGAAGCTGTTGCGAAAGACCAAGTCCATTTTGAGATGGTGCGTTAATACGAGGGCTAGTTTGTGCTTTTCTTTCTTTCTGCTTGAAAATCGGTGATCGAATTGCTTTGGGGTAATAGACCCTACTAGCTTTACTTGTCTGACGTTGAGGTGGTTCTGTTTGTGGTGGTGTTGAAACCTGGTTTTGGTTTAAGCGTGCCCCTTGATTAATAGGATCCGTGACAGTACTTTTTGGTAGCGCACCATTCAATTTTGCATTAGAATTCTTTGTTTTAATAAACAATACAGGAAGATCATGCAGACACGATCGAAGGTCAATCAGGTCACTTAAGTCCGAGTACGATAACAATTCATCGCTGATTCCATAAAGAACAATCGGCAAAACACTATCTTGACATTTCTCATATA